ACATTATTAATACAAAGGCGGGAAAGCTGTTGCATGTGTGAATCGCTGAAACAGGAAAAGCAGTTTCAGCAATTTTACTGCAATTTAACAGGTTTCATCTGTGAAAGTGTCTCACGATTACTACTTAGCAGTTTAATAGCCTCATCTGGTGCATTGACACGACTCAATCAATTATTGATACATGCATGAGCGAGAAGAAAGGGCTGTATTGATCCAATTCATGTCTGATCATAAACAACATGCTCTTGTACCCTAGGTGTTACAGATGGCAACAACCGAGGCTACCGTGTCAATCTTGTATAGTGTGTGCACCCAGCATGTGAACAGGAAATCTTTGGTTCAAAGCAAAGGGAATAAATTTATGAGCTACAATTATCCCTTTATTATAGCAAGTTACAGTGAATAATTGTTTGTAATCAGCATCTTGGGTTCATGCAAACAGAAACAGGTTCTGCTCATACATCACCAGCCATCTGTTCTAGAGCCGGGCATAAACTCGGCAAAAATAGCTATTCTTTACTCTTATTTGTGAGACAATTTTTTTTAAATAGATTTATTACGAAAGTGCAATTAATCACACTGTGATAATGGTGACCAAAGCAAGTGATTAATAGCATCACTTAAAAACAGCAGATCATTGGAGTCAATATCTCCCATGTGGCAGGACTATGACCTGCTGCTCAACTGAGTTGTTTGTTAAAAGAAGGTTTCATAATGCTAATTTACTGTGTAAACTTGCAATGCTTTTATTTATACACAATACTGTGGGAGCAGATGCTTTGTGAAGTCACCTCATCACATTTATTTCGCTTGGCTGCGTTGCAGCCTGAAATTATTTCCCTTTGGCTGGGCAAGATATTCTGCTGTGGTGAACGGGTCAGAATGGTGTATGCCTATTGGAATACTATCATCACAGTCTTCACAATTATAAAGCTGTCAGGGGAACATTTTTGCTATTGTCGAGAATAAAGACAGGGTAAGATGTCCTGCATGTCTCCCGCCCAATAAAACGTAGCTGTCATGAGGCCACGACTCATTACCACTTTTCACCTGAGGCTTATAAGGTTCCATTGATTCTGTGACATCACTGATTAAAATCAATGCAGCGTTCCCTGTGTCCCTGACTGGCTTCTGTGCCCTGAGGTGGGCCTACAGCTGGAATTCTGTTCCACTTATGTACCACTTCCCACAGGACTTAGAGGAGGTTGTTGTTGTACTCTTTTAACACGCACTCACAAAAATCTGTGACATGCTCAAAAGCACACTAACTATTAGTTTTGTGGTAGAAACCACTGATTAGATAAAAAGTTATGTAGGCTGAGGTCTTTCTTCATTCAAGTAGTGATTCAGAAAACCGAATCACCAGTTCGGTTACGTAATCACAAACTGACGTCACATATATGCAATGCTATTATTAAAGCACCCAACATTATGTGAACCAGATTTGTTTTACATGTCTAAAGCATATAAAGTGAATAAACTAGTCTTAATCAACTCACCTTTTACATGAACCATAAAGAAACTTACATTTCAACCCTTATTCAAGTCAGCTGCTCCTATCAAGAGCTCATCAGTCCTTCGAGTCAAAACTGTTTCCTCAGTTTAGTGTATTGGTGACTCAAGAATTGCTGTAACCATTAACCAACTCATAACTCGAGAAAGAAGAGTTATCATTGTACTATGTTGACTTGAATCTACTGCCATCTGATCACTTTTATATCTCCATTACTTTTTTTTTTTAATTATTATACTTTAAAGCTGTTCAGCAAAATAAATCAAAAACATGCATTTTTCCCCCTTCGTGAAATCTTCAGCAGACAGTTTCCATGTCGGACATGTCCGAAAGACTGTTCTTCTTATTTCAGTGTACTGTTGGACTAACTGGAGCAAAAACTGGCATCATAAAATCATATACTCCAGAATATTGGCTCATTTCAAGTCTAAGTGACTGTCAGACATGTTCAAAAGTGAGTTTTGATTAAATAACTTGTAGATCTGTGCTGACTTGAACTGCAAACTGTTTCAGAAGGTTCAGTCCGTTTTGATATACTAGTTCATCTAGTTCACTGAAAATAATCTGTTCAAAAGAACAATTTGTTTTTGAACTGGACATCACTACTTTCCAATAGATAGAAGCTGTACTTACATGACTGGAAATATTGATATGCCAGTGGTCTTGGACTTTATGTGGACAACTATTGGAATGTACTTTATGTAACAACACTCAAAAGCTCTAAATATTAACCATGACTATAACCAGTGGCATTTTAGAAATAACCAATCCACAGGCGTATTTATCATCCATTAATCATTTATTATGCAACAAAATGTTAGATAATCTTGGGCTTACCAAGATAAAGTGAGTAGTATTTCAACATGACAGCCACCATGAATAGGCCACCTGCTGTAAGTAACAAAAAAAAATATTTTTTTTTTCTTCTCTAGGCCACTGATATGATATGAGTCTTTATCTCATGTGATTGTACATCATTTTAAACATAGTTGTGTAAAACACATATACATATAGACGGATGGAGATAGATAGATAGATAGACAGACAGACAGAGATAAAAAAAATGCTAAAGCCTCCATTCATTTGATCAAAAGAACAATAAAACAGTAGTATTGGTGAAATATTATTACAATTTTAAATAAATAACTGTTTCTATGGTATTTTTTTTAATTATTTTATTCCTGTAATGCAAAGCTACATTTTTAGCAGCCATTACAGTCTTGAGCGTCACTTCAGATCCTTCAGAAATAATTATAATATGCTGTTTGGTGCTCAAGTAACATTTCCTGTCATTATCAATACTGAAAACAGCTGTGCTGGTAAACAGTTTTGTGGAAAGGATACTTTGAAGTTCAAAAGAAACAGCTTTTATTTAAATTAGAAATCTTTTGTAACATTAAAAATGCCTTTTCTGTCACTTTTGGTTCATTTAATGCATGCTTATTTTATTTCAGCTAGTTTCCAAAGGAACATTTCTCATTTTCATTTGGTTTAACAACTATCTGAACATATTGAAACCAACAATAAA